GACAAGTCCTCATAAAGAATGGATATCCTCCAAGATTTATCGACGAGAAACATGAAGTTAGGGAAAAAGACTGAAAGAACGCAGACGGTGCCGAAGAAACTGCTATTTATGAGTGTTGAATTTAAAGGTGATACCGCAGCTGAGATCCTGAGGAATTGCTTATGCAGACCACTGAGGAAAGCCTTCTTTTCGGCTGAGCTAAGTATCAATTTCTACAGCCGACAAATGATCAATGGATGTGTGGAGGATAAACTGCCGCCACTTTGGGCCACCTCAATGTGTGTTTATACATTCACCTGCTCGTGTGGAGCTAGTTATATTGGCCGCCCACACAAAGCACACGCTTTCGAAACGCATCTCTGAACATTAACCGCCATTGTTAGAAAAAAGACACTGCAAGACAGTTACTAGCTCAATTCTCAACCACTTGGTGAACTCAGACCACGCAGCTCCACCGGGTTTGTCTTTCAAGATTATCTACAAGGTAATACTAAATGGTAAAAAGGGCGTCAGGTTTTGGCATTTTTGAATGGTGGAGGTGTTGGCAACTCGTCAATACAACCCGGAACTCTGTATACAGAAACGTTTGTCTAGTCTCTTATTCAACCATTGGTTTTACCCTCTTCACGAGTCGTTCCCTGTAGTAAAATTTTGATTTTTTTTCTTTTCTTTTTCTTTTTTAGTTTTACTTTAAGTTTGCTTTTGCTTTGATAATTAATTTACATTTATCACTCTTATATGCTCCTTCCGTACATTTCACGCCCTCTTCACACTTGTTAAATTGACGACACTCAACTTCCAACTTTATTCTCACTCACTCAGTGGCAATTTTAACCTCATCAAGTTTCTGTCTTTGTGCCGTTGAGTACCACATAATTTACAACTTTTAACTTTTTCACTTCTAAAGCCACTTCTGAGTAATTATATCAATTATGTCATCCCTCGCCCTATTACTCAGTAATAGACCACTATATATATATTTTTTGTAAGTATAAATACGACTATGTACAGCAGCCTCTGAAGATGATTTCATCGATACAGAAAATTTTCTTCACTGAATTTGTCTTTTATTTTATTCATGACTTAATTATATTAATAACTAAAATTATCAGTTAATCGAAATAGTATCGCCATAGATTACGAATATTATTATTACTATTCCCTTGGGTTCCAAGTGGAACATACAACTTCAATAACACATCTCCACTTTGTCCTATTTTCTACTGTCTCCTTCAGCTGGCTAACCCCACGACTGCCCATAATCTCTCATCTCCTACTCAAACTCACAAGATCTCCTGCATATCATCCCCGCCTAGTTAGCTAGCTGGCTATTTTTCTAGCCGGTGCCAGGCCTGAATAAAGAGGGAGGGTTGGACGTGAGGCTAGCGACCCTACACGACAAAAGCTATCAAATTGCTAGAAAGACTTCAACGCACAAAATATGTATATTAAAAATACAAAAACAAATCAAGTAACAAATTATGAATAGGAGGGGATAAAAGAGACAGTTATCTTGCTACTAACACAGGAAGTCGTAGGTTTCTCGCTGTTAAACATTGTCTCTATCACATAAGACACTTGTGAGCCAAATATGGTATTTGTACAAACAAATAATCTTTTCTGGTGACTTGTATATTCTTACCTGATTAGATACAAGGTGGCGAGAGTTGTAAATAGACAGGGTGCTGAGAGTCAGACAATACAGATTTAGCTCATTTTGCATATGAGTTCACGTGTCTTTCAACTGGTGTAGTGAGCAATCTGATTAAATGGCACACCACTTGCCCTACTGACAACCATTAATACTGCATAGGTTTTCATGAGCAGCCCCGAAAAGATTAAGGTTGGGGAGCAGTAACGAACAATTGTTTTCTATAATTTGGTTTGTAGGGGTTAGTTTTTTTTTTGAGTTGATCACGGCTGGATACCAGTTAGAGAACCATTAAAAGCAATCAGAGAGTACTGGACAGCTGTTTGATCTCACGAATTCGGGAATCATCGGCAGTACGCACTCACAACAGGGGTTTCATAGCCAGGACCTTCCAGTTACAAGGCAAGCTCGTATACCATTCAGCCACTAGGACCGATTCAATGGCCAGCCCATGAATTCTGACTTTTATCAATTCGTGATTTAGAGCGACTCCAACCTGATGCTCGTTAGTGACTTGCTGCAGGATGGCGTTTCCTGGAGTTCTAATGAGAAGTCGTGACCATTGAAGTCCATCCAGATGTCACGTGTGAGGATGGATGTCCCAACTACGACAATGGTTGGGGTCGCGCTAAATCACGAATTGATAGAAGTTAGAATTCATGGGCTGGCCATTGAATCGGTTCCCAGTGGGTGAATGGTATACGAACTTGCTGGCCTTGTAACCGGAATGTTTGCTTTTGTTTGAATAATTAATTTACATTTATCACTCTTATATGCTCCTTCCGTACATTTCACACTCTCTTCACACTTGTTAAATTGACGACACTCAACTTCCAACTTTATTCTCTCTCACTCAGTGGCAATTTTAACCTCATCAAGTTTCTGTCTTTGTTCCGTTGACTACCACGTAATTTACAACTTTTAATTTTCACTTCTAAAGCCACTTCTGAATAATTATATCAATGATGTCATCCCTCACCCTATCACGCAATAATAGACCACTATATATATTTTTAGTACGTATGAATACGACTATGCACAGCCAGCCTCTGAAGATGATTTCGTCGATAAAGATATTATAATCATTAATTTTCATATTTTGTGCAATCTTGACTTTACTGTCACTGCATATGCCAAACAAACAATCTCAATATTATTCCTGAAATATTATTTTCTATATTTGTTTTTCATGTTGTCAAGTGAATTAGATGCGGTAATATTGTACGGAATGCTGAAAATTCCTAACTGTATGATAAGTGTACTGTTTTGGAATGAAGCATATTATTATCATTATAGGGATTCAGGCAGTTAGCATTGAAGTTTTAGTAGCATCGATGTCATTTTCAAGGGGGGAAGATTTCTAGCTTCAAATCTAACCTTCACCTTGTGTCTTTTTCCAGGCTGGCTTAAGAGGCATTTAAGAGTGCATCGGCCGGGGTTCCAACCTAGACTGCTTATATCCTACTACCTTATCACAGACGGGTATCAATTAGCGTTATTCTGGACAAATTTAACGATGTTCATTCTGCAATAAACTTTACTATTGAGAAAGAAAAAGACGCTAGTTTTTTTTATTTCTAGACATCCTTAGGACCAGAAAAGAAGATGGCACAACAAGAAGAAGTGTATATATCGAAAGCCAACATCAACTGGTCAGTATACGCATATTTTCAACTTCGTGCCCATTGAAATACAAACACAATTCCATAAAGACCTTGGTTCACAGAGCAAATCGAATGTCTTCATGAGGAACTTAATAACATTAAACGGTTGCTGAGTGAAAATGGTTATCCAGAAAAGTTTATTCATAAGAATATGAATCTAAAATCAAGGCAACCCAAAGTGTAAAAAAGTTCTTTAAAAGGCTTTATTCTTACAAATTCAGTTCCGCGGAGATAACATCAGTGAGATACTAACACAACACCCTAGGAACGCGGTAAAAAGAGTATTCTCTGCTGCTGAATTCCTCTGTGTCTTTAAAACCAGCCCTATTTTGTATTCGGGAGTCAAAGATAGACTGCCTAATTTCTCCTCTTCCATTTGTATCTGTTATAACGGTAGGATATTGAATGAAGACGTTTTCACCTTATTCTGTCTGCGCCTGAACTTATCTGCCTATCTGCTCGTCGTACCTTCCGACTTAGTAAAGCACGCAAATATCAAAAGACAAAGGCTGGACTGTGACTGTGTATTGAGGTGCAACAACGATAAAGAAAGCCATGGTATTTATACATTTTACAACAATATGGACAGCTAACAGCATTTGAAATAATTTATCTTAATAGCCAATAACAAAGTGTGTGAGAAATGATAATATGCCATATGTGCGACATTGACAGTCAGTAACAAAATGTGTGGGAATGATAATATACCATATATACAAAATTAGCAGTCACTACCAAAATGCGTGAGAATGATAATATACAAAATTAGCAGTCAATACCAAAATGTGTGAGAATGATAACATACCATATATGCAAGTTTAAACAGTCAATACCAAAATATGTTGGATCCTATCAGTATCTACCAATTAAACTGCTCCTGTGGAGTGAGCCAGTTAGTTGTATAGGCCGTATAGTTAGACGTGTTTCTCGTCGAATTTCCGAGCATCACCCTGAATAGTGGTGAAGTAAAGGACAAATAAAATCTATTCACACGGCGCTATTCTATCTCATCTTGTGGATACAGAACACAAAATTGATGTCAACGAGACAGTCTTCAAAGTCATTTACTGTATACCAACCAACAAATCTTAACTTCGCCTTAAGAGTTCGTTTATTAAATATTGTTGAAGCTGGCTGTTGGGGATCCACATTAAGAAACCTAATTTGTGCGTCCAAAAGAAGAAGCTAGTTCAGACATTGTCTTTAACTTGACCACCTAGGTTTGAATGATCCTCAATTAGTTGTGGAATTTTCCTAATTTTAGTTGATATTCTATTTGCTAGTATATTTTTTATGCTTATTATTATAATTTAGGCATATTTAATGAATTATGGTAATTCCATTGTGATCTTACTTTACAAATCGATATTATTTAAAAACCACACCAATATTGTTATTGACTACTAACCTAGAATATTCTATGTATATAAACACATGCATATTTAATTGTAGAGTCAGAAGAGGGCATTATCTATCGAAAAGGATATTCTTTGCTCAATTATTTTTTTTATAGAGATCCATTTGCTGACTTAATCATGTTCTCAATCATATCACATGAGAATTTTTCATACCTTAAAAAACAGATAATTTTTTCGTTTAGTTTTTTGATATAAAACATTTTTTTTAAATAAACAAATTCTTTTATGTATATATATATATATATTCATATATTTTATTAGAAGTTTTCATCAGTTTAATTTCTTAAATAATTTTAACTTTAGCTTTTGTCTCTTACTATTATTATTATTATGATGTTCACGTCTTTGTACAATGTATTCAATGTCTTTTGTTTGTTTTGTTATATTAATTGATGGATTTATTGATTGATTGTAATCCGCGCCATTGTTTGAATTATTATTATTACCATTACCATTATTATTATTATTATTATTATTATTATTATTAGTTATTCTAGGTAGAACATTATTATTCCATGGTACAGAGGCAACAGCTAAACGTGAAAGTTGTAATAATTTTTGTGAAAATAGCTTAGTATTTCGTGTACACAGCATAGGATGTTCATTATGATAATTAGTATAAAAGCATTCTCTGCATAGGACAATATTTGTACAAAATAAACATGTATATCTTTCATCTAACCAATTGACTTTATCACATAATTTACATGGTGTATCTAACCATACTTGATCAATAACTGATTGATTATTATTATCATTATTATTATTATTACTATTATTATTACCTTCTACAATTGGTGGATTTAATAAAATATTCGGTAAATCATCAGCTTTACAATAACTAAAAAATGAATTTAAACACTTTTTATCCTTGTATGGATGTGGTACAGCATAAATTCGACAGATTTGATTATGATTACAGAAATTTTTCACCATTCTTTTGATACATGATTTTGATATGATTTGTACAAATTCGTCAACACCTTTCAAAAAAAAAAAATAATAAACATTAGAAACATACAAAAAAGATAAATGAAATAAATATGTATTACTGATGAAGAGTCCCAAACAGGGACGAAACATATATCTAGAATTCAAAAGTTCAACTAATTGAAGACACTACTTGATGATGACGAGGAAACCTGAAGTCGGTTGAATTCCTGCAAAACTAATACTACTCACTGTCTACAGGATGAAGTTTCCTGGAGTTTTAGGGAGAAGTCGTTACCACTGGGGTCCTTCAGATCAGGTATAACGAATGAATACTTACCGATGATATTAGTTTGTGATCGTGCTGTATATCATGAATTGGTGTAAGTTAGAATTGATGATCAGCATACTGTCTGTCTGTATCTCTGTCTGTCTGGTTTCGACATAGAACTTTGCACCGGTGTGCACCAGTTCAAGTCACCACACTCCCTCCATGTGGCACACAAAGCAAGAGAAGAAAGTAGGAGAAATGCATAATAGAGACAGTAGACAGAGGTGCGAGACAAAGGAAGAGTAATAACGAAGAACAAAACAGTTTCATTGGAAATCATAAGTCACAAGGAGTGGATGCATCCGCACCAGCCAGCCTAGACTGGCTAGCCACTTCAAATTGTATCTACCAATTCAACTGAAACTAAGCTTGTAGTGGAGCGACTTATATTGTCCACTGCTCTAGGAACTTGATTTTTCGTGCTCTCTCGAGAACATATCCCACTATGACGAAGTAAAGCTTAAGGTAGTTAAAACCATTAACAGCTCAATATTAGACCATCTGGTGCAAACTGGCTACAAAGCCAGCCAGCCAGCGTGGAAGAATCCTTCTCCCTAATACACCAGGTGCCTAACAAATTGTCAAAATCATCGAATCACTGCATGCTCCAAACACCAGAGGCTATTCCAATTCGCCTCAAACAACCAGTGCTCTGCGTTCTAAAGAAGCAAGTCCGGCTAGCCCCTACTACTTACTGCCCTGGCCGGCCGGCCTTCAGTAGAAACTATAAATTCATGAATTCATTGTAATATTTATTATCTTTCCTAATTCCTCTGACGTTCAGCTCATTTTTTGATGTTGATGCTATTCAGCTGTAATCTATCAATATTATTGATTCCATGTTATTTTAACAGCAACATTAATGTTGTTCGTAACACTAGTTCATTCATTCATTCATTCACTATAATGGATGGATATAAAACTGTAGAGCCTGATGATGAATGGGTTATCGAAAAGAGTACTCTTTCTTCAGTATCCATTCTTTTAAAAAAGCTTTTTATCTAATTCTAGGATTGTAGATTGAACTGCCCCTCAAAGTTATGGTATAATGACTAACTGATGAACCGGGAACGGGAAACGATCACTTGGGTGTGATTCCGGGGCTGACATGGAGGAGGTCGTGTGAAAAGTAGGAAATAAGAGCCTATAGGCAATCGTTGTGTCAGTTAGAGAAGACTGTGTGTAACAAAGTAAAGTGAAAATATGCTTCTGTGAAGCCCTATCCTCCACAGTTCAAAATCTCTTGCATTTTGCCAGTTCTTTTTTATAATTACTCCCCTATGTTCTTTCTTGGACAAATTAAAGAAGATTTTGTTATATTGTAGGTGACAGTGAAATCTGTCGTTAAGGTGAGTGATTTACCTCTTAGAGTCAATTCAGTTATATCGTTGCTGATAGACATTTAAACTTATTCAAAAGTAAACTGGAGGAAATCATCCTGTGGCACTCAGAGAACCCTCTTGTCTCATAATGTTCCTGGCCCAACCCCCTTTCTGATTAGTCACGAAGCTGGGTTGAAAGATTTTATGGACCAAGTTAAACTTTCAGCACCACTCACTAACTACCAATCAGTAAATGATCTCAAACGCGCCAATCACACGAAGGAAGCATTTTTGTGTGCGCAATGCATCACCAACAAAATTCGGATTTTCAATACAAACGTAAAGTCAGTTCTTCTATACGGATCAGAAACTTGGCGGGTCACAAAGAATATTTCCAAAAGGCTGCAGACCTTTATTAACAACTGTCTTCGCTCAATACTGAAGATCAGATGGCCGGAAAGAATCACCAACAAGGAATTATGGGAACAAACAAAGCAAGAACCAATCGCTCGCCCAACAAATATGCAGGAGAAAGTGGAGGTGGATCGGACACTCGCTGAGGAGACCGCTGGGTGACATCGCGCGCCAAGCCCTCGAGTGGAGCCAGGCCGAAAGGGCAGCGGCGTGTGGGACGTCCAAGGGTGACATGGAGGAGATCGTGTGAAGAGGAGTTGAAAGAATATGGATTAACATGGATGCAGGCGAAAAGTATAGCAGAAGACAGAAGAAAATGGAGACGTGCAGTTGAAGCCCTATGTTCCACTAGGAACCTAAGGGAGCAATAATAATAATAAATGCGTATGTTTATGAAAAAATGCATAAAAAGTGTAGAATAGTGTTGCAGTGGCCACCTTCCTGTCACATGTGATAAAAATAGCTCTCAGTTTTAGGTTGATGTATATCAACAGAGTATAATTCCATTGTGGGTAAAATTCATTTTGATAAAGTCTTACAATGTTATGCGGTAATATTTACTGGGCGATAAACGTGTGCTCGAAACGTGGTCATCAGTAAATTATTACTGTATAACACCCAATGAGAACTTATCAAAATAAATTTTACCCATAATGGAACTATACTCTACCAACACAGTGCACAAGTTCTAATCTTGTATCAACAGAATAAAGCAAAAACTACAGTTTTAAGTTTATCAATAAGCAAAAGAGTTGAATTCTCAATTTTGCTGAAGCCATCTCCATCAAGTGCCTGAAACCTGATTTATGCGTCCAAAAAGAAGCGGTCATCAGTCTTTCTTTGCCCTGGATACTGGATATTTTCATCTCTCTTTCATTTGAATGCGAAATGCTGAAAAGTTTCCATTGTGTATGGTTATTATGTTAGGAATAGTGTTGAATATTACATATGTATGTGTATATATGATTACTGTATGCATATATTGATCGATTGATTTTTGTTTAAAATCAACTCTGTGTGCAATTATGTTAAAATTGTTTTTGTAGATATGTATTTAATAATGTCTTTGCCCTGTAAGCAGCTGACGAGAAGGCAACGAAATAAAGAATGATGGTACCACTTTATTCTGTTAAAACTGTAGTTCTTGCTTTGTTCAAATTCATTAAGTAGAATAAATGTATGAAATCAACAGAATAATTTAACCACATTCTATGCATGTAAAACTAACAATGTTCTTCGGTGGATTAGCGGTTAGGACGCTCGCCGACCATGCACATGGTCCGGGTTCGATCCCCGGCCATTGACGCACTCCTTTACGTTTCTATGCCAGTTATTTGACTGGTGAAGAGGGAAGGTTGGACATCAGGCTAGAAACCCTATCCCGCGAAGATAATCACCACTGCTACAGAAACTTCAAGCCTCTAGCTTGAAGCCCTATGTTCCACTGGGGAACGTGAAGGAAAAAGAAACTAACAATAACTCTAATCTTTCCTGAACTTAACCCTAACGTGAAAATATCCGTGAACTATCTGTAATCTAACTTGAACCAACCCTAATGTCGCCTTTATTAGGTTGATCTAACCCTAATTTGTCTTCGACCTAGACCGTTACTTAATCTTGCCAGATATCCCAATTAACAGCATAAAACTTCTATGAGCATATTTTATTCATGTTGACAAACATTATTTATCAGGTTTTACTAACTAACTTGCTTAGTGAGCGTTTCTAGGTCATTGGTGTGGTCGCACTCCATTGGTAGTTGTTACTGGTGTTTAAAGTTTAACTTTGCCGCAGTAGGTATGAAGTTATTAACCTCCTGTGGAACAGTAAAAATGATAAGTTGTTTCACTTGTGCCTATCATTCAGGTATTGTTCCCACTGCTGTTCTAATAATGTGTAATTCAATTTTCACGTTTATATATTATCACTATTAGGAGTTACTTTTCTTCTTATTATTATTATCATTATTATTATTATTATTTTATTTCAGAGTGAACATTAGATGTGAAATCTTACCACATGCTATAAATTTCACACTGTTTTACAAATATTCTCTCGAGTAAACTTGTCACCATAATGATTGATCGCTTAATGAGCAGCCAGAGTCATTTATCTTGTCCTTGGGTTTGTTACAGACTGAATTCTGTCAGTCAAGTCTACAATATGGTCACCAAGCTAGGTGGCTTATCACTGTGGTACATTCTGAGTTGACGCCCAGATAGTTGAAAGCAGTCGACAGAAATCCTTGATTACTTCCTCGTAACAAATCAGTGTATCTGTGATAGTCTTACATGAGAACAGTTGTGAATCCGAACCCCTTCAGTAGTAAAGTCTTTGGCTGCTGTACTGGATGACATAAGCCCGAATTTCAGAAGGTGTACAAGTTGCCTGTTGGTTGTAGATACCCCATCAAGGAAGAAACCTAAGTGTGGTAAGGTTCTCCTCTGTCGAATGCTTCCATCTCTCTAACATGAGATCTAAGATTTAAGACTGTGGTAAAGAACCAATTCTGGTTGAAAATTGGATAGCAATAAGCGTTAACTGCGCAATATAATCAATACTAAGTTCATAATAGTCAAATCTGAACAAAAGCGCGAAAATGACAAGTAAATACTATCTTCAATATTTTTGGTTCGTAAGCATTATATTTGTTTTTACGAATCGATCAAGGATTGATATCAATTTATAGAACCATTGAAAACCAGTCACAGAGAGTACTGGCCAGTTATTTTATTCTAGTTTGGCAACGGTGACATCCTTTTTCGCATGTTCAAAGGGCTTAGATAGATATATTTACCAAATGGAATGCACGTGTGCACACATACATAGAAGGGAGGAATCACTGATCTATGCAAGTAAGGGCTGGCTTCAGAGCATATTTCTGAATATCTCCAGAAGCAAATAGAATCCTCAGAACCCAATGATGGTGAGAACAGGAGACCTAGCTCCTCTATTGTGAAACATATCACAAAGACCGGACATAAAA